TTTTTTTTTTTTTTGAGTGAAGGACAGACATTGGGTTGTTAGGTGTCTTGTGTCCAAATTTGTTGTCAATTCCCCCGGGGGCTTTGAGTTCTGTTAATCCCACAAACGAACATTACATTTTTATTTATATATATTATCTTTATTGGTTTGATAAAAACAATTTGTAGTTCATTCATTAAATAATCAATTAATTAAATTTATGACAACATTGTTAAATATTAAAAACAGGTTAAATGGTTCTCAGTTTTAGAGGGAAATTCATTACAATATGTTTTTTCCCATAAGGAGAAATATGCTTTGTTTTTATATTCGATTTATTTATTTATTTACTGAATTCATATCCCACCTTTCTGTCGAAGTGATGTCAGCTAAAATCATTATAATGTTACTTTTCTGTTCAAAATGTCTGAGTGGTTTATAAGGAAAATATTTTTGAGATGTTATGTCTTCCAGAGAATGCACTATAAACCACTTTGCTTTCCCAAAAGGTATGGTTTTGTGAAAGTCCTTGCAAAAGGCAAGTACTGGTATATAATCTGAAGATGACAAATTATCTAGATAAGATAATTTTGGGATTTTTTTTCTAATCCATTACCTTTTCGTGCCTTTCTTTCCTTGTGTACGTCCATAGAGCCCTGAGTCGAAAGACCAGATCCCCAAAATGATAAAAATATTAAGTGGCGAAATGGCCATTGAATTACACCTGCAGTTCTTAATACGAAACAACAACACAGACCTCATGATTCTCAAAAACACAAAGGTAAGGCTTATTGCTTCTCTAGATCTTTCAATTTTTGTCTTTGTGTGTGTCAAGACTAAATTCCACATCTTGATGTTATTTGGCCAGATTACGCTTTATTTGAGAGGATTCTTTCTTTCTCGCTTTGTGCTTCTTTCTCTGATGAAAGTATACATAACAGTAGTTTACTTCCAAGCCTGAGGATTCTCCACATCAAAGATTGCAAAGTTGTAATGGAAATTGCAAAGCAATCTACCCTAATTGTACATTTGAGGAAATACACTTAATCTTAACAAACTATGCTATTAACTTTGTGTTACAAGATCCTTTTCCATACTGAGATTCCAGACAAACATGGATGTGTCTTTGAAGAGTTTCATTGCTGATAACACCTACTAAAAGGAGTAGATTGCTCCTGGTTTGAGATATTATCTTATTTTTTATCTGTAAATCAGTTGCAATGTTCAGGTGTGTCAGTGGTTTTTTCCCCAGTATAATTTTATACTTTTCCAAATTAGACATACAGGGTGCGGCACCATAACTTCCTTTTTTAAAATGCACGCCATTCAGTCGGTTGTAGATGTAGCAGAGTGTTAGTGGTCTTGTTTGAGAGGCGGGAGTATAAAGTTTTGTCCTGACACAGTTCAGTTGCCATCATGCATTGGAACAGTGAGGAGTGTGCTTTTGCCGTTGAGGCCTACTTTTCGAGCGGATGTTCTGTGATCGCAACCCAGTGCGCCTTTCGGAATCGCTTTAATTTAGCCCCATTGGCCCCTGTCCCGGACCGGAAATTAATTGTGACGTGGGTTACTAAATTCAGACAAACTGCAAGTGCGACAAGACGAAGAATGGGAGTCCCTTGGCCCATGAGATCACCTGAGAACATTGAGGTAGTGAGAGCTTCAATGTTGCAATCACCACAGCGTTCTGCACGCAAACATGCGTCTGCCCTTGGACTTTCCGATCGTTCTGTGAGGAGAATTCTTCATGATGATCTTCATTTCCATCCTTACAAGATGGCGATTGTGCAGGAACTTTCTGAACGTGACTTCAATTCTCGGAGGAACGCGTGTGAGTGTTGCAACCCAGATCAGGAAACAAGACCATAAGATTAAATCCACCACACTTGACTGTGGGAAAAAACAATCCTTTTTTATTGATGAAAAAATGGTTACAAAATAGAAGAAAATGCAAAGTCAAAAATCCACAGTAAAACTCAGCAGTCAGGAATGTCTCTGAACTAGATCAAAATTCCAAAGCAACACCATAAAAACCTGGAACCTGTTAGTATCTCACTAACCGTACTTGGAAACTAGAAGCCTCTGGGAATGCAGGCCATGGGAAACGGGAACTCAGCCAAGGTGATGCCTCAGTCTAAACGATGCTTGATCTAACAAGACAGCCCCGGGGGAAGACACTTTAAACTAAAGAAACTGTTTCGGGACACGCCTCCAGGCTTGGAAGCCTCCTTTTCCTTTAATCTACTTGACCTTCGCAGCCTCTGTGATTCACTCCTGTTTTCCCAAATCTGCCTTCTTCTATCCTCATTTAAAAAGGCAGGTGTTAACTCCTCTGAAGAGTTATCACCGCTTGATTCTGAAACATCCTCCTCAGGATGTTTAGTTTCACTTTCCCAGCCACTGCCCTGAGAATCAACAGTTTCCAAACCATCAGGGAAAAATACATGTTCAGTAGCCTGTTCAGTTGCATCAGGAAATACAATCAAAGAATTAGGGTCAGGTTCACACGGAGGCTGAACCCCAACAGTGAGGTTCTTCTCAAAGTCGTTCCTGAGGACGCTATTGTTTTTTTTAGTGATGAAGCCCATTTTCATTTGCGTGGATCTGTCAACAAACAAAACATGCGCTACTGGGCTGACAACAATCCTCAAGAATTGCATCCAAGGCCTTTGCATTCACCTAAAATCACAGTGTGGTGTGCAAGTTCAACCTGTATTAAGAACGTGAACTACATTGGCTTTTTATGGGGCTCATGCGGATCCTACATTCTTCAGTTATCTTTCATCTGCCTTCCAAAACTATTAACAATTTTTCAGAACACATTTGTATCGCTCCAAATGAGATTTTGCTCCTTGCATTTGTTCCCTCACTGTTTTTAAAGCGACCCTTTGCATTTTGTTTGTCCAGGATGCAGTGCGAAATTCTGTTTGTCACACAGCGACCGTCATCGCTAACTCCTTCATGCATTGTGGAACAACCAGTGACCAGTTCCTTAGGTAAACATTTATTTTTATTGGGCACCATGTGAACTCTTAATCATTTTAATGGTTTGGATTGTCTTCTTCCTTGATATTGTTCAGGACAAGTTTGTCTGCAGTTCCACTTGTGTAAAATGTAGTGTTTCATTTATGAATGCCTCACGTTCAAAAAACATTTTTGTTTTCTGGTTTATTTGTAGCAATACATTTGACAACATCTGGATAAGCTGATAAGAGAACTGTAATACAGTACGGCTCCTATATCTGCGTGAAATATGTTCCAAATTCCTTTGTGGATACCTGAAAGAACAAATAATCTAATTTGACTCTGGTTGAAGCATACCATAGAACAGCACTGGGGGAAACAGAGACCTTCAAACACTTCTGTTGGAAGATTATCCAGTGCTACTCTATGACTTAGGTCAGAATAGAATAGGAAAGTAGATTGAATAAGTGTATTATTTTCTATGGTTTATACAACTTTAAAGTACACAATGAAGACAATAGTTCAAGATTTCCCATACCTTGGTTCAGTCATTAGTCAGAGTGGAGAGTATCCTCAGGAAATTAAGAAAATATGAATACTCGTAATGGCAGCCGTGAAGGAAATAGATAAGATCCTGAAGTATAAAGATATATTACTGAATACTAAGTTAAGATGCTCCATGCCATCGTATTGGCCCTTTCTGTGTATGGTTGTGAAAGCTGGAAAGTGAAAGAAGCTCATAGGAAGAAAACCAATTCATTTGAGATGTGGGGCTAGAGGAGACTTCTGTTGACTACTAAAAAGACAAATAGATGAGTCCTGGACCAAATTCAGCCCGAACTCTCCCTAGATGCCATCTTGAAGCTCTGGAGCCCTCAGTGGCACAATGGGTTAAACCCTTGTGCTGGTAGGACTGAAGACTGACAGGTCGCAGGTTCAAATCCGGGAGAGCGCAGATGAGTTCCCTCTGTCAGCTCCAGCTCCCCATGTGGGGATATGAGAGAAGCTTCCCACAAGGATGGTAAAACATCCAGGTGTCCTCTGGGCAAGGTCCTTGCAGATGGCCAATTCTCTCACACCAGAAGCAACTTGCAGGTTTTTTTTGAGTCGCTCCTGACACAGAATATATATGTGTGTGTGTGTGTGTGTGTGTGTGTGTGTGTGTGTGTCTTAAAGCTGCCGTACTTTGACCATATCATGAAAAGTAATTTTTTTTATTGTGTCAGGAGTGACTTGAGAAACTGCAAGTCGCTTCTGGTGTGAGAGAATTGGCCGTCTGCAAGGAAAAGTAATGACTTGGGGGGAAAACAAAAGGCAGTAGGAAGAAGAACACAGATGGTCTTTGGACCATAATAAAGACTGATTGATTGATTGATTGACATTCCTGTTGGATAGACTCAACCAGGGAAGCAGTGGCTCTGATTCTGCAAGAGCTGAGCTGGACTGTTTTGGAGAAACTTGGAGATCTCTTTTTCACAGGGTTGCCTTCAGTTAACATTGAATTGAAGGCAGTTTAACAACAAATCGTTGATTTGTGCAAAGCAAGTAAGGCTTCTTGGAAATAGATGGCTTGGGTGATTCCTGGCTGCTAACCTTCAGTCCATTCCCATAAAGCAGATAGGGTCAAAGACATAGAACTGGAAATATTTGCCCTTCTTGACTAACTAGTATATCTGGTGTCAGAGGTTGGAATTGTGTTCCTAAACATGCTGTTGAACTGCAACTCCTAGTAGGCCCACCATTGTTTCTGGTGAATAAGACTGCTGGGATTTGGAGTGCAACGATGCTTGAAGCACAACATGATTCTCACCTTGGATCTCCATATTCTGTTCTTGTGATATGAAGGTGTGAACATCTTAAGGGACTCTGTCTAATTCCCAGTGTTTCTTTTTGCAGAGATAATTTGGAATGGCTTGCCAGGGCTACCAATTGGGCAAAGTTTACTGCTACTGCCAGCCTCGGTGTCATACATAAGGTAACACCAGATGATTGCACATTTTGATTATACATGGCCTCAAAATGGAAATGGGAGTAATGCTTTCTCTTTTCTTGTCTGGTTTTTTCAAAAGAGAGCAACACAAATGCAACTTTTAGGCCCACTACAACTGCTGACCTCAACTGCAAATGTGTTTACACATGTCATTTCTTCCCTGAATGCCCTCTGTGGCTCTTTCCTCACCACTGGTGTCCAAGATGTGTAAATGTATCTAAAATCAAACTGGGTCCATTACACTTACTTGAGGACAAAAGCCTGCTTAAACATCCATGTTTTTAGATTGGATTGGAAGGATTGAAGGGTGGGGGCTAACCTAATCTCTTTTGGAAGGGTATTCAATAGCTGGGGAGCCACCACAGAGAAGGTTCTCTCTCTTTCGTCCCCACCAACCATACTTGAGATAGTAATGAGACTGAGAGAAGGGACTCCCCTGTCAATCTCAAAGCCCACGTTGGTTCATAGAATCATAGAATCAAAGAGTTGGAAGAGACCTCATGGGCCATCCAGTCCAACCCCCTGCCAAGAAGCAGGAATATTGCATTCAAATCACCCCTGACAGATGGCCATCCAGCCTCTGTTTAAGAGCTTCCAAAGAAGGAGCCTCCACCACACTCCGGGGCAGAGAGTTCTACTGCTGAACAGCTCTCACAGTCAGGAAGTTCTTCCTCGTGTTCAGATGGAATCCCCTCTCTTGTAGTTTGAAGCCATTGCTCCGCGTCCTAGTCTCCAAGGAAGCAGAAAACAAGCTTGCTCCCTCCTCCCTGTGGCTTCCTCTCACATATTTATACATGGCGATCATATCTCCTCTCAGCCTTCTCTTCTTCAGGCTAAACATGCCCAGCTCCTTAAGCCGCTCCTCATAGGGCTTGTTCTCCAGAAAGAGATGCAGTCTCAAAGATAGGTTATTGTAAAATAACAAGATATAGAAATGAACTAGGAAACAGCAAAGCTTAAAGAGAGAAAAGACTGCAGGCAGTAAGGGAGACATTCAAAAAAGTCTTCCTGAAGCAGGAGGCTTTTATCAGCTTATTAAGTGGCATTGGAGAAGAGGGAGACTTTGGGATATGTATCTGTTTTTTCTCTCTTGAATGTACAGGGCCATGAGAAGGAAGCTCTGCAGTTAATGGCGACGTACTTGCCGAAAGACACATCCCCAGGGTCAGCCTATCAGGAAGGCGGTGGGCTTTATGCCCTGGGACTCATCCATGCCAACCACGGAGGGGACATCATAGACTACTTGCTGAACCAGCTGAAGAATGCCAGCAATGACGTATGTACTGTCCATACCAGGCATGGGCAAACGTGGGCCCTCCAGGTGTTTTGGACTTCAATTCCCATAATTCCTAACAGCTGGTAGGCTGTTAGGAATTATGGGAGTTGAAGTCCAAAACACCTGGAGGGCCCACGTTTGCCCATGCCTACAAATGCAACATTTCTGAAAATGTTGAGGCCATGTTTTAGTGTAGAAAAGTGATACTTTGGTTACATTATGCAGCTATTCGGAGCATCATGTTGAAGGGAGCGATGTAAACTTCCCAAATAAATGCATTGTGCCAAGGAAAAGTAGATGTTGCTTTCCATTTCTCAGGAATTTTTCCCAGCATCATCTATCTGCATTATATTTAAAGGTGTTGCTGAAAGGCTTCACATGGGAACCTTCGAAAGTTGAGCAATTGGGAGAAAACTGTCACTCCTGCTGTTGAAACATACATGTCCTTAGAATACTTTTGTCCATATTGCCTTTTTTGACTAAGAAACCCTTCTATATTTCTATTGCTATTTGTTGTTTATTCGTTCGGTGGCTTCTGACTCTTTGTGTCCTCTATTGCTGTACTTGTTGCACTCCAGAGCAGGATTTTCCCTCTGACTTTAAAACACCACACGTTGAGTAGGAAAACAATCCTTTTTTATTGAAGAGAAGTAAAAATAGCACGGTAGAAATATGCTTTCAGAAAATAGTTAAGTCCAATAAGATAGGAAGGTAATCAGGTACAAAGTATTCCAAGGCAGGGCTCAGCAAAATTCAAAAGCAAAATACAGACATTTCTAATCAAATCCAAAGAGCCAGGAAAACATTGATCCACAGCATGAGTATATAATCCCAAGAGACAAAGAGTCAAACCATTTACATGAATCTTCCAAGCAAGGCTTCCATAGAACAAGAACTTAGCAGGATTCTAAAACGATGCTTCATCTAACAAGTATTTCCCTGGTGAGAACTTTATATCCCAAAACCCAGAAATTGGTTTCGCTTTCCTTGACTGCGCCTCGCCCTTATCTCTCGAAGCCTAGTAGAACGGCAGAAGCCTTGGCTGAGCTGTCTGTTTTGGCTAAATTCCAGCCGTCTATATGCTCATTATTTTCTCCAGGTGTCAAGTTGTTTTCAAACCCCAAATCTTGGGAACTGTCTGGGTCAGAGAGTAAACTATCATCCCTATACCCTGTAGGAACATTGTCATGGGAAACTACCCTTTGAACTGGTGTCCCTGTGTCATTTTCTGCATTAATATCATTGACCAAACCATCTCCATCTTGACCCTTAGTCATTCCCCACATCAGAAGCACCTTGATCCTGAAACACAAACACAGGCTGAACTCCAACAGTATTTTACATTTTTCATTCCATTCTCCCTGGACATTACTTCTATCAATTTTGCATTTTCATTTTGGTTCACTTTTCTTTCAAGAAAGTGCTTATTGTGCTATGTTTCCCCCTGTACTTTATCTCTGTTGTGTTTTGGTAAGACTTTCAAGGGAAAGCAGCCAATTTTTCCAAGCTATTATAGTTCATGGCAGACATAATCAGTCCTTGTATTTACAAACCCTTCTATAACAGAAAGGACTTGAGGGAGCAGTCACATTGCCAAAGACCTGGCTTTAACTGAACAGGAAAAATTACCATACTTTTCCAGATCAGCTAGAAAAAGGGTTGCAGTTTGCAATAATAGTACAAAATATTGGAGCAAAGAGGGATTTTAGCCGGCTATCTGCCTGACTTCCAGAGTTGATTGTGACTTTTAGATTAGACCATGTGAGAAACAAAGCACAGCCACACTTACTTTACTTTTGCACTTGATAGATTGTGAGACACGGAGGGAGCCTGGGACTTGGCTTGGCTGCCATGGGGACGGCTCGCCAGGATGTGTACGATCTCCTGAAAACAAACTTGTACCAGGATGATGCGGTGACAGGTAAGCTACTGCTTTTGTGTAGATATAAGAAAAAAGTCTGTGTCTGGGAAATAACATTTCATAATTAAGTTAAGGCCTGACATGGTAGAGGGGGATCTTTGTGGATTTCTAGAATCTGACCTAAATCTTAGAACCGCTGCAAGATGTGGCCAATCTTTAGAATCATAGAATCAAAGAGTTGTAAGAGACCTCATGGGCCATCCAGTCCAACCCCATTCTGCCAAGAAGCAGGAATATGTTGCATTCAAATCACCCCTGACAGATGGCCATCCAGCCTCTGTTTAAAAGCTTCCAAAGAAGGAGCCTCCACCACACTCCGGGGCAGAGAGTTCCACTGCTGAACGGCTCTCACAGTCAGGAAGTTCTTCCTCATGTTCAGATGGAATCTCCTCTCTTGTAGTTTGAAGCCCTTGTTCTGCATCCTAGTCTCCAAGGAAGCAGAAAACAAGCTTGCTCCCTCCTCCCTGTGGCTTCCTCTCACATATTTATCCATGGCCCTCATCATATCTCCTCTCAGCCTTCTCTTTTTCAGGCTAAACATGCCCAGCTCCTTAAGCCGCTCCTCATAGGGCTTGTTCTCCAGACCCTTGATCATTTTAGTCGCCCTCCTCTGGACACATTCCAGCTTGTCAATATCTCTCTTGAATTGTGGTGCCCAGAATTGGACACAATATTCCAGGTGTGGTCTAACCAAAGCGGAATAGAGCATGGGGAGCATGACTTCCCTAGATCTAGACACTATGCTCCTATTGATGCAGGCCAAAATCCCATTGTTGGCTCATGTTTAACTTGTTGGCCACGAGGACTCCAAGATCTTTTTCACACGTACTGCTCTCAAGCCAGGCGCCCCCCCATTCTGTATCTTTGCATTTCGTTTTTTCTGCCTAAGTGGAGTATCTTGCATTTGTTTAATAATAGATGGGCTTCCTTTGGAAAAGGTGTTCAGTTTTTCTGTCACTAGAGGGCCACCTGTACCTGCATAGGATTATCATCTTAGGATTTATTTATTTATTGTGTCAGGGGCAACCAGACAACTGTATTACATTTATAACAGAACAAAACAAACAGACAAAACACAAAATTTGCAAGCTTGGTAGTTGATTAAATGTCCTTTGACCAGTATCTGGCCACTTGGAGTGCCTCTGGTGTTGCTGCAAGAAGGTCCTCCATTGTGCATGTGGCAGGGCTCAGGTTGCATTGCAGCAGGTGGTCAGTGGTTTGCTCTTCTCCCCATTCGCATGTCGTGGATTCCACTTTGTAGCTCCAGCACAGTCTGTTCAGCGTCTTCCAAGTCGCCCAGTTTTCTGTGTGCCCAGCGGGGAGTCTCTCCTTTGGTATCAGCCATTGCTTGAGGTGCTGGGTTTGAGCCTGCCACTTTTGGACTCTCGCTTGCTGAGATGACATAAATGATCAGATGACTTTATCATTTGGAGGCTTTTGCTTTTCATTATCCCAAGACCTGTCCTGAGTCTTAGAGATGGAAAAATGGCATTTTCCATTTTGTCATGTCCTGTATCAGGCATGGACAAACTTGGGCCCTCCCTCCAGGTGTTTTGGACTTCAACTCCCACAATTCCTAACAGCCGGTAGGAAGTTGAAGTTGAAGTTCAAAACACCTGGAGGGAGGGCCTAAGTGTGCACATGTCTGTTCCATATTGTGGTATGTTTGGGAAATAGCAGGGATATTGAAGTACTCTGACTTCCTTTTCATTCCTACTTAAAGGTGAAGCAGCTGGTTTAGCCCTGGGCCTGGTCATGCTTGGATCCAAAAATGCTCAAGCGATTGAGGATATGGTGGGCTATGCTCAAGAAACCCAGCATGAGAAGATCCTGCGAGGCCTTGCAGTTGGCATTGCCCTAGTGATGTACGGGAGAATGGAAGAAGCCGATGCCCTCATAGAGAGTCTCTGCAGAGATAAAGTGAGTGTATCTCTTCTTCCAAAATAGCGTTTGCTCTGTTTAAGGACTACTCAAATGCTCTTCAAAATATAAAATGGAGGGAGGTGGGAAAACAATCAACAGATGATTTGAAGGCACACTTACTTTCATTCTTAGCTGGATGTTTGCTTGACAATAATAATAATAATAACAACACCAACAATAATTGAATTGATTAATTGAAGAGAAACAAGTGGAAAAGCTGACACAATACGAGGATTTAAAGATCGAACTGCAAAGACTGGCACAAGTTAGTAAAGGTGGTCCCAGTGGTGATCGGCACACTGGGTGCAATGCCTAAAGACATTGGCCTGCACTTAAGCACAATCGGCACTGACAAAATTACCATCTGCCAGCTTGCAGGGATCTGCACGCATTATTCACCTAGTCCTAGACATTTGGGAAGTGTCCGGTGTGTGATCCAACACCACAGCCAGCAGAGTGATCTTGTCTGCTGTGGACTCATCTTACTGTGTTTCAAATAATAATAAACCAGTACAGGTGGTCCCAGTGGTAGCTGGCACACTGGGTGCCGTGCCAAAAGATCTCAGCTGGCATTTGGAAACAATAAACTGACAAAATCACGATCTGTCAACTGCAAAAGGCTACCTTACTTGGATCTGCACGCATCATTCGAAAATACATCACATAGTGTTCAACTTGTGATTTTGTGATATGAAATCCAGCATATATATCTTGTTTGCTGTGAAATACTGTGTTTTTGTGTCAGATATTATTATTATTATGATTAATAATAATAATAATAATAATAATAACAACAATAATAATGTATTCCTATGTCTGTCTCCAAGAGACTAGAAACATACCATAGGATCCTAGGTCTATGCACCTTAGAGTTATTTTGTTTGTGAAAGAAAGGAATAGTTACATGCCCTCATGTTAAGTCTTACTTGTGGCAGCCCTGTCTCGTGTTTACTTGTCAAGATTCCTGGAAAGTGGGTTTATAATGGCCTTCCTCTGGGGCTGAGAGAATGTGACTTGACCAAAGCCACTCAATAGATTTCAGGGGCTGAAGGGGATTTGAAGCTTTTGGTCTGGAATCTTAACACTCAGACCCTTTACTATGTTTGCTGTCATTACTTTTACTTTGAGTCACTTCAGTAAAATCAGTCCATGGACAGCAGTACCACCTTCAGACACTAGGTGGCAATCATTTCTAAGGAATTCTACTAGTTTGTAATTTTTATATCCCATATTTTACAAAAGAACAAACCTCTAAGGTATATTTCAAACCAAAAATTAAGCCTTCTCCAATGTGCTGCTCTTCTGATGTTTTAGACAAAACTTCCTATCAGCAGAGGGCAATATCAATGATCATATGGAATAATATCAATTATACTTCAAAATATTGGGAGGAGATCAGCATCGAGAAAGGCTATATAGTACGCTAAAAAAGTATTATGCTGAAGGCAAAGTTCAATGCCACTACAGGGCAAACATCTCTGATATTCACATTATAACCCTTAAAGTGTGTGTGTGTGTGTGTGTACAGCAATATATATTGCTGTATTGCAAGTAATATAAGTGAAATTGAAGGGGTATGTCCTATCTAAGTTTATCAAATATATTGGTATTTAAATCAAGCTTTTTTTGCTTACTTTATGCATTCATATCAGAAGCTATTCCAATATCTCTCTCTGTGTATGTTCCAACTTGACAAATGCTGTTGAGGCAGTTTACAGTCATTAATACATGAGTATTTTTAGCTATTGAATGGATTAGTCCTTAATGGCTGCATTGATACATAATATGTAGTATTGCATTGACATCTTAAGCCTTTTTGGGCAGCACAGTACATGATTCTGATATTTTAGGCTTTGCTGTGAAACATTTGTGATATAAATATTTTATTATTTGCAAGAATGTAGAGGCCAACTTAACAGTCAACAACTAGTGGAGAAATGTCAGCAAGTTGGTTTTCTGTAGCTAGCTCCACTTTGATATGAGTTTAAACAGGGACCATGCAGCATCATACTCAAAGATATCTTCAAATATGAATGGAATATTTTCATGGGGAAATTGGTGATGCCTAATTTGTGTAGGAAAACAGTTTTCCAGTGGTTAAATAGAATTGAAATTAAACCTATATTGTATCTATTCACATCGTTAGTCTCTCTAGTTTAGGGATGTAAACACTGATGGTGAGCATCAGTTTCTTTTGTTTCTTTCTGTCTTGCTGTTCGCCAAAGACATCAATCAGCTGTCTGGAGGATTGATTCATGCTGCTTCTGTTGTTTGTTGATGTGGTCTAGGAGTATAATACATTGGTTTTTGGAGAAGTATGAGAGTTTGGGATCAGAAATGGTGGGAATTGAATTTGAAACCTCTTTTGTGCAACTTAGCTCTGGCTCTTCCCTATAAGTCTCTTCTAACTTTTCCCTACTTGAGTAAGCATTAAAGTATTAAACGTACTCTGCTTCTATTCCAGGATCCCATCCTCCGCCGTTCGGGAATGTATACGGTCGCAATGGCTTACTGTGGCTCTGGAAACAACAAGGCAATCAGGCGTCTGCTGCATGTTGCTGTAAGTTCTTCTGGTTTTTGAGTTGAAGATGGGATTATTCTGGTTGTTACACAGCTCTTTTGTGAGACAAGCCAACCCTGACATTGACATGAACCATGGTTGTGCTTACTTATAGTTTAGAACAGGCATGGGCAAACTTTGGCTATCTGGGTGTGTTGAGATTAACTTCACAATTCAGCAGCAGATCAGTTGCACAACTTCAGCGCTTTCCAGTAGCTTCTTCCTGCACAGTATTTTCAGTCAACTGCTCCCACCGCCTGCAGTCACTCTGGAACCTTTTACAGACACTTGAGCACATGCCCGGCCATTGTCAGTTTTACCATTGTCTTTCCCCCAGTCTAGATGACATTACAAACTTACCACAGCATACAGTTATATCTTGTTTTAGCAGACAGGTTCTTTTAATCAATTACATAGAGCCTTCGACGAACAACATCATAGCACAAGGAGAGAGAATACACTGTACATGACTTCCTTATATACAATTCTATACAATTACACATAGCAATCTCTGATTGGTTCCCAACTCATTAACTTAACTCAGACCCAGGGTTACATCATTCACAATCACCTGGACTAGGCCAGAACACATTCCCCAAATGAAGTTCTATATACAGTTAATGCATGACTCAGCATTTCCAATAGAAGCCCATTAGCAGTGCATGACTCAGCTATATTACATTACAATACATTGTAAAACCTGACAGGGTGTTTTGGACTTCAACTCCCACAATTCCTAACAGTCTACCGCCAATGTTTAGCATGCAAATACAGAGGGAAGACTGTACCTATCTCAGAAGTTGCATAATTTATGTTCCCATCTATATAAGTGTTTGCTTTCAATGTAGAATCTTTCTTCTTCTTTGATAGGTTAGTGATGTCAATGATGATGTGAGACGAGCAGCCGTTGAATCCCTGGGTTTCATTTTGTTCAGGTACAGCTTTTGTTTCTTTCTGTCTGCTGTTTGCCAAAGACATCAATCTGCCGTCTTGAGGATTGATTCATGCTGCTCCTGTTGTTTGTTGATGTGGTCTTAGGAGTATAATACATTGATTTCCGGAGAAGTATGAGATTCTGGCAAAGTATAAGATTGCAGCGCGGGGAAGCAGTCCCAGTACTGCTAAGAATGTGTAAATTGGCTCTCATCCTCAGATATATTTAGAGAGAGGCTAACAAATGGTGTAGCTGCAGTTCATTCTTGTGACAAATATCCTTCTACTGTCAAAGGCTGTGTATTTGTCCTGAGTCATAGACTTTAGCTTTCCCGAGAAAGAACAGTATTTCACTTGGTGACAGCAAGGAAGAAAGATTGTAGTGGCACACACTCTCTGAAAAAATATATACCATACTCCAAAACTAAAAACATGTGCTTGTTCTCTTGCTGTTTAAATGCTCAAAGAAATTTTTTTTTATTTTAAAATTGGATGGCATTTAACTGATCTGCCATGTATGATTTGTTTGTGATTAACTGATTTGTTTCTATGCATAGTCCACTGATGACACAAGTTGGGCATTCTTTATGTAGAATTCAGATATTTTCCCAAATCCAAAATTGGTTGCACTGTTGGCTGAAACAGTGACACTTTTTCTTTCCTTGTTTAATGCACAAAATTATTTCAAAACATTATATATTGTAGTTGTCGTTTGGATTGACTGTTGTGGCATAAAGCTTTGTGGGCAGCGACCCATTTGAGATTTTTTTTTGGGTTGTTGTAGGTTTTTCGGGCTATATAGCCATGGTCTAGAGGCATTCTCTCCTGACGTTTCGCCTGCATCTATGGCAAGCATCCTCAGAGATAGTGAGGTCTGTTGGAACTAGGAAAAAAGGTTTATATATCTGTGGAATGACCAGGGTGGGACAAAGGACTCATGTCTGTTGGAGCTAGGTGTGAATGTTTCAACTGACCACCTTGATTAGCATATAATGGCCTGACAGTGCCTGGAGCAAACTTTTGTTGAGAGGTGATTAGATGTCCTTGTTTGTTTCCTCTCTGTTGTTGTGCTGTTGTAATTTTAGAGTTTTTTAATACTGGTAGCCAGATTTTGTTCATTTTCATGGTTTCCTCCTTTCTGTTGAAATTTATTTATTTATTTATTTATTTATTTATTTACTGCGCTTATATACCGCAATTCTCAGCCCTTCAAGGGCGACTCATTGCGGTGTACAACATGAAGAAAACAAGTGCAATCCACAAGGCATAGTGTAAAACAGTGTACAATTCATCATAATCATAAAAACATCTTATCAAACAACAACATCACTACAAAATCACTACTACATTCCGAATCGTCTCATCGTCAATCCACAATCCGATCTCTTTCCCAGTGTTCCATTCCTATGGTCAATTGCCAGTCATTGCACTTATTGATCAAATGCCTTCTTAAAAAGCCAGGTCTTTAACTTCCTGCGGAATATTAGCAGGGAGGGGGCTAGCCTGATGTCCACGGGAAGGCTGTTCCACAGCCGAGGAGCCACCACCGAGAAGGCCCTATCTCTCGTCCCCACCAGCCGTGCCTGTGAGGCAGGCGGGATCGAGAGCAGGGCCTCCCTGGAAGATCTCAAAGTCCTCGTGGGCTCATAGGCCGAGAGGCGGTCAGTTAGGTGACGCGGAGAGGCGGAAAGAGCCGCCTCTCTTCAGCTGTTGTCCACATGCTTGTGGATTTCAGTGGCATCTCTGTGTAGTCTGACACGGTGGCTGTGAGAGTGGTCCAGCATTTCTGTGTTCTCAAATAATATGCTGTATCCAGGTTGGTTCATCAGGTACTCTGCTATGGCTGACTTCCCTAGCTGAAGTAGTCTGCAGTGCCTTTCATGTTCCTTGATTTGTGTTTGGCCAATGCTGCGTTTGGTGGTCCCTATGTTGAAACATTCACACCTAGTTCCAGCAGACAAGACTGGGAAAACCTATTGACTCAAGTATGCTCTGCTCTGCTATGGCTGAGATTTTTTTGTGAGTGGCACCAGGCTAGGCAGGTGCTCACAAACATGAATGGATGGAATGAGCATAAGCAAGAATAGGAAGCCAGGAGTTCTAAACATAGGTGATTATCTGAACAATTATTCCCTGAAATGGTTTACTTAACTATCACTCAAAGGTTGCGAAAAGCCTTTGTCCATTCCATGTATAAGAGAGAATGCCTGTGTATCTTGAACTTCTCCCCACATTCAGTCAGTGGGGGACTTGTAATCAGAAGGGCTGGAAGGTATAAACATGCAGGAAGTGGAGGCGGGAAATATTGCATAACCCAATATTAATCACATGGCCCTCCACATTTGGTTGTGTTTCAACTGGCTCTAGCACAGCAAGTTTATCACCAGCTGCAGCAAATTTTGCCAACCAAAAAGGTTGACACTTCGAAGCCGGGTCAGGGTGAGCTCCTGACCTTCAGCCCAGCTCCCCTCCCACCTAGCAGATCAAAAATAGCGATGTGAGTTGATGAATAGAAACCGCATTAAGCGGGGAGGTATTTTAGGCATGGTTCTTCAGAGGAAAGTTTACGAACAAAGAAAGCACCGGACAAATTGACACCAAATTTGGACACAATACACCTATCAGGCCATAAAGTGACCATCACTAATAAAAACACTGAAAAACACAGTGGAAGGGGCTTAAAAAGCCAAAAAAAGTTACAACGCATGCGCAAAACCACATATATACACAAATATATACACATACATATATGCACACACAAAACACATATACAGACTGGGCCACAGCAATACGTTGCAGGGGACAGCTGGTAAATACATACATATAAAATTACCTTGATGCCATATATATATGGTGTTTATAAAACATACATATGGTATATGTTTTTAGGCATTCCAAATTTTGATAAAAGTCTGAAGTATACATTAAGCTTGTGTTTAGACTTGGGCCCCATTTCCAGGATGCTTCATTGTGTACATATCTGCAAATACAGGTATTGCTGAATCCTAAATCGAAAGCACTTCTGATAACAAGCATTTCAGATAAGCAATGCTCAACCTGTAAATATACAGTTTTATTGCTCCATGGAATTTTATTTTACGTTGTTTGGATATATTATGTGATAGTAATAATGAATGGCTATTTATAGCCACACTGCTAATATGCTGTGAAATATACTTTCCTGAAAAAGCACATTGCAGAAAAAGAACCGTGGTTGTCATTCTTGGAGAATGTGGTCTTCCTTGTGAGAAGCTTTGTGCTTTCCTTAACAGTGATTACAACGGAAACTTGATGCTTGACTCATGTTAATGTGATGAGTTGAATGGGGCAGAAAGAATGCTGATTCGTACCTCCTAGAATCTGTTGGTTGTTGAGGATGTCATTGGCTTTGCTTAGTGGATGTGAATTTTTAAGGAGTCATGTAGCGCTATTGAGGCTAACGGAAGAAATGACATGTTTCAAATAAATGTCCTTGGACTCCAGTTGACTTTACCAGATAGGTGCATTGAAACCTCTGTAATCTGGCATTTATATACCAACTAGCCGTCCCCTGCCATACGTTGCTGTGGCCCTCATGAGGGTTCTGTGTGGGAGGTTTAGCCCAATTCTATCATTGGTGGGGTTCAGAATGCTCTGTGATTGTAGGTGAACTATAAATCCCAGCAACTACAACTCTATAATGTCAAGGTCTATTTCCCCCAAACTCCACCAGTGTTCACATTTGGGCATGTTGAGCATCCGTGCCAAGCTTGGTCCAGATCCATCATTGTTTGAGTCCACAGTGCTCTCTGGATGTAGGTGAACTACAACTCTCAAGGTCAATGCCCACCAAATCCTTCTAGTGTTTTCTCTTGATCATGGCAGTCCTGTGTGCCATGTTTGGTCCAATTCCATCATTGGTGGAGTTCAGGATGCTCTTTGATTGTAGGTGAACTATAAATCCCAGCAACTACAATTCTATAATGTCAAGGTCTATTTCCCCCAAACTCCACCAGTGTTCACATTTGGGCATGTTGAGCCATCCGTGCCAAGCTTGGTCCAGATCCATCATTGTTTGAGTCCACAGTGCTCTCTGGGTGTAGGTGAACTACAACTCTCAAGCTCAAGGTCAATACCAACCAAATCCTTCTAGTGTTTTCTCTTGGTCATGGCAGTTCTGTGTGCCATGTTTGGCCCAATTCCATCATTGGTGGAGTTCAGAATGCTCTTTGATTGTAGGTGAACTATAAATCCCAGCAACTACAACTCCCAAATGACAAAATCAATTTTTTTGAGTGAAGAACATACATTGGGTTGTTAGGTATCTTGTATCCAAATTTGGTGTCAATTTCCCCCAGTGGTTTTTGAGTTATGTTAATCCCACAAACGAACATTACATTTTTATTTGTATAGATTGGTGTGTGTGAGTTATAAAAAAATGCAAAACATGGATGTGATGATTTGGTTGCATATTTAGCTTCAGTGGGGATCATAAATGAAGAAAGGGTGGAGGCAAATTATTTGTACAAGCAAGAAAGCCAGTCATGAATATGTATTGGAATTGAATTTTTTGTGAAATGTGTACATTCTAAAATCTTGGATACGAGAATAATGAATTGCAATACAGAAAAGGAAGCTGGTAGCAAAGCATAAAGCATGGTGAATAGTTGTTGCTGTACTTGATAAATCTAGGCCTTCATTTCCCAGAATGTGAAAAAAAAAACTGGGTTGAAGAGTATTTTTGAGAGGCTCCGGCAAGTGGGGCTCATCTCTCCACTTTAAATATAACTCTTATTGAAAGTTTCCACAAGGAGTTGCCAGCAGTGGAATTAAGTTTGTAAAATCGTGTTAAGAGGACATCATTTAAATGAAGTGTCTGGGAAGTATCAGAGTAGGGATGGGTAATATGTAAGCAGCAAGTGCGAATCACTTTTAGGAGGATAGAATTGCAATGGTTCTTGAGGATGCAAATGTTTAAAGGCTTTTCCAGAGTGACCCTTGGTAAAGGTTTTGGGACAGCAGG